AAATCTCCAAAAGCATCTCTATTCCATCTCTTCACATCCACATTAATCAATTTCAATTTTCTCATGAATTTAAAACCCTCCCACCCATGACATCCAGCATTATGCCACCGTCCCGCGAAATTTTCCTTGAAGGATTGATGATCCAACCACATATTTTCAAATCTGAAGGAGGTCGGACCCCACCTAACAGGACAACTTTCCATCTTAATAGAACAATGATCAGAAACTAATCTTGGTAATGCTTCCTACCTCACATTGGGGAAAATCCCCTCCCATCCTGATGAGAACAAGAACCTGTCCAATCTATAACATACCAAATTTTCCTGCAGATTTGACCAAGTGAACCTAGCATTAGAGAGAGGAGGATCCATCAACTCACACTCTCTAATAAAACCATCAAAATCCTTCATTCCTCTATTAATCCTACTCCCCGTGCTCTTTTTCGAAACCTGCCTAACCACATTGAAAATCCAAAAACCCCCCCCCCCCCCCCTTAAACACCAATTTGGTGAACACAACCCGTAAATATAACTCCTCCCATCATTCCCTCCTCCTAGAAGGACTGTTAGGACCATAAACCTCGGACAACCACCACTCACTATTATCCAGATTCCTAAACCTAATTGATAGTGAGAACTCACCTGCTACAGACTCACATTCTGATACTACCCTTTCATCCCAAATTATTAAAATACCCCCAGACCGTCTCTCAGAAGGTACAAAAGCCCACCGCTTGTGCCTAGACCCCTAGATGCTCTTAATAAAATTCCTATTGCAAACTGCCACCTTAGTTTCTTGAAGAATGACAATATCTGGTTGATGTTTCTTCAAAAAAATTCTTTCTAGAGCCCAAACCCCTCACATTCCAGTTGATAATCTTCATTAAGAAACATCAGCACCCCTAACCTCCTCCTGTCTCCTATCATAATTGATGGTACTCACCAAGTTCTTTTAGTCCCTCGCCCCTCTCTTTCCACTAACCCCCCTTTTCCCACTCTTCTTCCCTTTATAACCCTATTTTCCTTAGTACTTGAACCGAACTTTTCATTAATACTTACCAACGATAGACCCATAACCTTAAGTAAATTCTTAAATTGAGGCACTTCATTTTCCTCAATTGGGCATGATGGAAAATTGCTTAATTCCTTCAGCCATCTCTCTGTTTCAACTTCACTATCATTCAATCCACTAAAAACACAACCCCTCCTAACTCTATGATTGGAAGAAACCCCCTCCTAAGTATCATCCATCAAACCTTCAGTTATATCAACATTACAAAATTCATGATTAAGAGTAGAAACACTCGGAATGTCATTTGGATTTTCTGGATTGGCTCCCTGGTCATCAATAGAAATTAAAGGAACAGGACACTATGATACCTCTTTTCCCACCCCAGGACAAGAAGAGAAAATAAGAGCATTGTGATTCCCCCGAGGAGATGAACCTGGGACATTATGGTTAAAGGAGTCACTTACCTATTCCATTGAGTTAGTAACCCTCTCGATCTCCTCCTCAATAGCACATCCTCCTTAAAGAAAATATTAAGTTGCAAATCTTGCTACACATGATCATCGCCATCACCCTCCTCATATTCGAAAGCAGCGCTCTCATCTAACCTATACTCTCCCAAAGCTTGCAACACCTCGTGAGGCTCGAAATGGCCTTTGTCCACCTTGCAAATGAAGTTTTCAGCTTCACTAGCAACCTCTGACCTGTCTTTGACCCAATCATCCATGTCTTTCCTTGTTTGCTGCAAATCCCCACCTCTTCTATCCATCTTATCGGCTAAACCCAACTAAATCTCTCCCAGATTGACAGAGATATGTTTTCCATTCTGGAAATCCCTTACTTGGTTACCCATTTCAGCTCCTTACATCCCATTCGAGTGACGCTGACGATGAGATTCCTGTCGTAACCCAGGTGATTCGCTAGCAACACAGACCCTTTTGGTCTGCGATCCATCTCACCGGTGCAAATCCCCCTCTTCGTTGTCTCTTCTCAGTCCATCCACAACTTGAGAATCAACCAATCTACTCGAGTGATCCGACCCATAGGTTGAGAACCCTTCTTCTCTTGTAGGCCTAGGTAAAATAAACAAAGGTGACTCAGGCCCATTTGGATTTTGTGATTAAACAACTTCTACATTGAAATTAAATAAGCCCAAATAAAGATCATCCTGTGGCCTTTTAGCAGACGTTGGCCCACTAGCCCTTTGTGGCCCATTTGGAATTCCACCCAATCCTTCACCCCTTGGTCTTCCCATCACTCCATCATCTGCTCTCTGTAGATCATATGCCCTTTCGACTCCAATGCCATTTGCATGTCTCCCCCACCCAAGGTTGCCACGTGCCCACCCTGTATCATCCGACTCTCATCTCTCCTCTCGCCGATGTTAGCTTCAACAGGGGAGCCTTGCTTGAAAACCTTTGGCCACTTCTCCACTTTCCGGCCCACTGGTCTAGATAATGGCTTCAAACGCACCATAACAGATGAATCTCCTGCCTTCACCTCCATAAATGCTGGTAAAAAACCTGTGTCAAATTCTCTGATTTCAATCTTACCTCAAAGAGATTAGCCATTGAAATGGTCCTCCTATCAACATCCAATAACCCACCACACCTTTCCCCGATCATCTTGAAGATCTGGTCATCCAAAGATTAAACGATAGCTCACTTACAGCTATCCATCCCCCATACGAGACGATAACGTCAGATTTAACGTGATTTACCTTTGACCACTTCTCCAATTTGACAGCCATTCCTTTGTCAAAAAATCTCCAGCCCATATCTCCTAAAGAGCTCACTTCTTCGCTTCTAGTAGTCCAAACAGAGCTCGATTGAGATGAAACGGGCGGAGAGTGATGCCTTGTTTTTAAGTATTTGCTTAACTCCTTCTCAATATGAGCCCAACTGTACAAAAAATTAGTTCTGGTACAGACCATTGCCCTTTTTAAGTCAAAATGTGGATGAGGTGACATCGTTGCTAGGAATATTGCTCTTTTGGGCAAGTGGTTATGGAGATTTTCTATTGAAAGTGACTCGCTATGGTGTTCAGTTATTAAAAGCAAGTACGGCACTCAATCTAATGGTAGAGATTCTAATGTGGTTAACAGTGGCAATTGTCATTCATCGTGGAAATCCATTCTCGTTTGTATCCACTTGTGTCTAATTTCTTTTCATTGAGAATGGGGAATGGGGTGAATATTCGTTTTTGGGAGGATGTTTGGTTAGGGGATATTTCTTTTGATAGATCTTTTCCTCTTATTTACTGATTGGTTCGTTCTCGAAATGTTTCAATAGCGTTGGTGGCAGGCTCTTCTATGGATCCTATCTCTTGGTATTTTGACCTCATTAGAAACTTGAATGATAGGGAGGCGGTGGAGTTGGCATCTTTGTTGGTAGTGCTTCAGGGGGTCTCTCTTTCATCATCTTTTAATATTAGGGTGTGGAATTTTGTTTTCTCAGGGGTCTTTTCATGTAAATCTTTTTTTGATAAGCTCATTGATAATCCTTCTATTCCATTGTTTTCTTATCATAAGAAAATTTGGAAAGCAGATGTCCCTCATAAAGTGAAGTTTTTCATGTGGTCTTTGGCTCAAAAGGGTGTCACAACTAATGTTGTTTTCCAAAGGAGAAGACCTAATCACTCTCTTTGCCCTCAATGGTGTGTGATGTGCAAGAGAAACTTGGAGGTAGCAGATCATCTATTCCTTCATTGCCCAGTGACTTGTGTATTATGGCAGCGTCTTTTCAGCTTATGTGATGAGTAGTGGGTTGCTCTGTGGGATGCATTCAGATGCTTCTTATTCGGTTTATAGGGTTTGGAAGAGCCAAGAGAGAAAAAACAATGTGGACCAATATTGTTTTTGGTATTTTTTGGGCTATATGGTTGGAGAGAAATGCTAGAATCTTTGATGGCAAGGAAGCAAGTGTAGAGGCTTTGTGGGATAGGGCGGAATATTTGGCATCTTTTTGGGCATTTGTATCCCCTCCTTTTAATGGCCTTTATTCTTGATCTCTAGGGATTGGGTTGTTGTTTGCCATCCCTAAGGTTAGGAGTTTTGTGCTTTTGTTTTGCTCTTTCTTTCTCTTTCTTTGTTTGAGGACTTCTTGTCCTCTTTCATTCCTATTTTTTAATACGATTTTTGTTGATGCTCAAAAAAAAAAAAATCTGGATGAGGTGACGCACTTCCATGGAACAAATCAACAAACCTATTAGCTCTGTTCGCCCCTGTTTTCTGGTTCAAGGCAACCTCATTACTCTTCCTCGTCATTGTTCCTTCTATTTCTTTAGCACTGGCCTTTTTGCAAATTATTTTCCGAAGCATGGTGGATGTGTCAATCCACCCCCCCGGCGGGGAATAATAATGTTGCCTTTTTTCACTCCTCCCTCCCATTTTGATAATTCAATAAAAACTCCTCTCTTGTTGCTATACTTCTGTAAGCAAAACACCGCTGAACTACTGGTATACTTGCTGAAAAACGATCCTCCTTTGATATGTTTCACCACCTCATGTACTGGTATAACAAACAATCCTCCTAAAAAAATGTAAAATACAGGGACAGTCCGATACCGTTCATAACTATTTTTATAATTTGTTGTAGTGCATGACATATAACAAATTAAAAAATCAAATTCAAAAATAATTGAAGTATTTTTGTAATGGTAAAAAAAAGAACCTAAAGTATTCTTTATATTTTCATAATTGCAAAAATACCCTACATTTTTTAAGTTCACAAAATTGGACACTATAATTGTTCCGATTTCATCACATTCCTGAAACATAGGCATTCCGTACCCGTCTCATTCCCAATGCTGTACACTATGTATTTCATTTACCGGTACACATATTTGTGCCAGGTAAGTACCTGATACTCGTACGGAAATATTTTCGAAATGCTCATGCATGCTTCATAGAATGTGCTACAATATTACTACTATTTACTTTTGTTAAGTGTCATTGAACTTTACTGATTTCATATCTCTGCGCCTGTAACTAGGTGGGCATGTGGACAACTGTGTCAGAGTCATATCGTCAGATGGAGCGAGGACTTTGGAAACAGCCAGAGGGCATTGTGCTCCAGTGACTTGCCTGGCTCTATCACCTGATAGCAACTACCTCGTGACAGGTTCTAGGGATGCAACGGTTCTAATCTGGAGAATTCATAGGGCATCGACTTCTCTTTCAAGGACTACATCGGAGCCGTCCATGGGCTCAGGCACACCAACTTCAACCAGCAGTAATACTCTAGCAAACATCTTGGCAGACAGAAGCAGGAGGCGACGTATTGAGGGTCCCATACATGTTCTCCGGGGCCACCTTGGGGAAATAATCTGCTGCTGTGTCAGTTCAGATCTTGGAATTGTTGTCTCGTGCTCCAACTCGTCAGACGTTCTGCTCCATTCGATAAGAAGGGGTCGCTTAATCAGACAGCTGGTTGGTGTGGAGGCCCACGCAGTCTGCCTTTCATCTGATGGGGTCATTATGGCTTGGAACAAATTGCTTAATACTCTCAGCACGTTTACTCTTAATGGGACTCTGATAACCAAGGCACGACTTCCATTCTCGTGTAGCATTAGCTGCATGGAGATTTCTGTTGATGGACAAAGTGCTTTGATTGGATTAAACTTGTGTTCGGAAAATGATAGAACCAGTGACAACAGTAAGCATTTGAAGTCGGAGAAATCAGGGATTGGAGATGATAATGTGGAGTCATATGAAACAAATGAAGACAATAGATTAGAAATTCATCCACCTTCAATTTGCTTCTTTGATATGCATTCTCTAAAGGTATGGGAAACAAAAGCAACAAATAAATAGTAAAACAGTGATCAAACTTAAATATGTTTCATCATTTGTTGATATGAGCAATGCAAAAGGTTTTGAAGCTTTGTAACTCTTTTTTCTCCCAAAAAAAAATTCCTATGTTATTAATTGATTCAAAAAATTACTGTCAGCAGTTATCAAATTCAACCCATCTTCTTCACTTATCAAATTACCAAAAAAAATTAGATGTAAAATTGCAAACGCAGCGTTTGCACCCACTGCTAGTCTATATAATCTATTAGAGAAACCACTCATTTACCATTTCCCTATGCAGCAATCTGCTTTACTAACATGCGGATGTCATTTTTCTTGCAGGTATTTCATACATTAAAACTGAGTGAAGGGCAAGATGTAACGGCTCTGGCTCTAAACAAGGACAACACTAATCTCTTGGTGTCAACTGCTGATAAACAATTGACAATCTTCACTGATCCAGAAGTAAGTTCAACATTCTCTATACTTAAGATTTCACTTTAATTGTCATTGTTATAGTTGCATATTCATGTTAGATTTGTGACTGGAAAAAACGCTCTGTTTACATCAGAAGACGTTTACCCTGGTCAACAGAAAACATGTCTATTTGGGAGGGAAATATTTTTTACGTTTAAAATGTAAAGGACATTTTCCGTGTAAAGTTTTATCAATGCCACCACCACCACCTCTGCCCTGTTGCCACTGCCACCACCACCACCACCACCACCACCATCATGACTAATGCAACCATTAATACATTAGTTTCAAAGATGCAACCATAGGAAAAAAATTTCTCCGGAAAACATTTCCTAGACAATTCATAGAAAATATGTTTTATGCCAAAACAAATGGAGAGGACGTGTTGTAAATGTTTCCTAATTGAACTCTTATTTTTATTACTTGCAGTTGAGCTTGAAGGTGGTAGATCATATGCTGAAGCTGGGTTGGGAAGGTGATGGGCTCAGCCCCCTCATAAAGTGAAATTTTCGTGATTTATTGGTTTTTGATTTGTCGGACCAATTTTGTACAAAGGAGATTACCATCAATATTTGAAGGCTACAAGGGCAAGCTGGCTAGCCATCCTGGTCTGAAATCGAATTGTTTTAACCATTTGCGGCTCTGTCTTTGTGGGTGTAACATTATGTATCCAAGAAATGGAAATGACTTTGATGTATTACACTAGTGTGAAATATTAGATTTAAGCAGGGTTCTGCAGTTTTTGACTTGATTGAGTTGTAAATTTGACATCGTCAGGCTTCGATCTATTATTAGCCTTAACGAGCTGTTCATTTTTGTCCCATTTTTTGATATTCTGAAAATTCAATAGTAATATGGTTTTGTTTGATTTATAGATGTTCATGTCTTTTACAAAATCATGAATCATGGAATGCTTTACTATTTCTTGTTTCTGGAGAACTTTGATATCGCTAGAACCAAAATTGATGCCGCGATTCTCAACTTCCCTTCAACTACTACTTATAAATGCCCATTTTTTTCAATAAAAAATATAAAAAAGGAGGGGGAGAGAAAAGTTTTACACTGTTTTCTTAGTTTGAAAAAAAAGATTTATAAAGAAATAATGTTTTCTCATGTTAATTGAAGTTTTTATTTCCGTCACAAATAGATCTATAAAGAAATAAACTCTTACCATTACACACTACAAGAATTTACACATTTGGCGACCATTTTTGCCGACCAAAAAAATTTTAGTCGCAAAAAAAAGACATTTGGCGACCAAATATTAATTAGTCGCGAATGATCATTGTTTTGGCGACCAAATATTATTGGTCGCAGAAGGTTATATTTTGGCGACCAAAAAATGAGTTGGTCGCAGAAAGTGGTATACTTTTCCCGACTAACTACAAATTTGGTCGCGAAAGATCACATATTTTTTGGCGACCAAATTTTTGGTCGCCAAAAATTTATTTTCAATAACCAAAAAAAATTAGTCGCCAAATTTGTATTTTTAGCGACTAATATTTTAGTCACCGTTGATTGAGATTTGGCGACTAAAAAAGTTTGTCGGCGAAGGTACTTTTTCTGCGACTAATTTGGTCTTTTGGTCGCCAAAAGTTTGGGAGGGAAATTTGAACAACCAGGAGGGGGGAAATGAAATTTTTTGGCGACCAAAAAAATTTGGTCGCCAATCAGAAAACGACGTCGTTTTGTACCTGCAAAACAGAAAAAAAATCGCAAGGTAAGTTCTCCCTTTTTCTACCTCTTCCCTTCTCGCTCTTTGATTTCAATTCTTCTTTCCTCCGATTTCTTTTCTCTTTTTGGGGGTTTTGAGAAAGAAAACCTAGAAAATATATTGGCAGAGATAATTTGTGTTTACTTCTAAAACTCTCTCCCTTTCAGAAATTTGTTTACTGCTTCATTTATATACTCTGCAATTGTGCCAAGTTCCCTCTCCCTCCCGTTCTTCTTCTTCATCGCAAGGTAAGTTCTCCCTTTTTCTACCTCTTCCCTTCTCGCTCTTTGATTTCAATTCTTCTTTCCTTTCCCTTACATCCCTTTTGCCTTTTTTTGCCCCACCATTTCCTCCGTGTGATCTTACCCAAGAGGAAACTTCAACCCTAACAGCTTCTGCCCTAAATCTTCTCTGTTATACTCTAACAGCTTCTACCCTAACAACTTAATTGTATGGAGTTGGTGGTGGTATGGCTGATTCGAAGGTTTACACACCTATTGGAGGTCGATCTGGGTCAGGTGGTCGTGGAGGAAGGGGAGGCAGAGGCCAAAATCCTGTGGCCCTAAATCCTGAGTTGAATGTGGTTTTCAGCTGTAGACAATGCGACTCTTGATTATCATGGGCTTCTATTTCTGATCTCTCTCGCTCTGTCTTTCTGGTATGTGTGTGCGCGTCTCTCTCTCTCTCTCTCCATCTATTTCTGATCTCTCTCGCTCTGTCTTTAAATCAACTTTTTTTTGTTCTTTTAGGGCTTAATTGATTGAACAGGTATATCTCTCTCTCTCTCTCTCTCGCTACAACAGGTATCTCTCTCTCTCTCTCTCTCTCTCTCTCTCTCTCTCTCTCTTTCTCCCTGTTTTCGCCTCACTCTCTCTCCCTCTGCTCTCTTCTCATTTTTCCGAGCTCCCTCTCCCATCTTCTCACTTTTCTGACCTCCATCTCCCATCTTCTCTATCTCGCTATCCCTTTTCTCGTCTCTCACTTTCAGAATTCATTTTTCCCCAATTTGAACCCTAATTTGTTGGATGCTTCGCTGCCTGTGACCTCCCAACTTGGTTTTTCTCTAACCCTAATAAGTATCCTTCAAATAAAGATTTTTTTTGGTGTTTATTTTCCTGAATTTTTGAAGATCACAGCTTCAATTTTTGTATTGTAGCTCAATCTTCAAATCTCCATATTGATTTTTTTTTTTTTTAATTACAAGTCAATTGTTTTGCTATTGGGTCTGAAAATTGCTTTGATTTTTCTTTGAATTTTTGGCCTTGGAATCCAATGAAACAGTTCTAAAATCCCAACTGAGAGAGCTACTTAAGCTCATTGTGAATTATTTTTGACGTTATTTGAATTAGTGTTTGTGGGTATTTGACTGCTTACTGGATATGTTCATAAAAAGTTCAATCAGCAATATAAAGCTACAATTGGGGCTGATTTTGTCACCATAAAGATTGGATGTGATTGAGACTTGTATAAGTATTTTATAAATTGGTGTTTCCCATTTTGTTGTTATGGATTTTCCATTCAAACTTGGAAGAAATAGAAAATTTCAAGTTGGTGGTATAGTGATGCAGGGCATTTTCATATAATTGGATCAATTGTCATAATCATCAAACCCACAAAAAAAGTCTTACTTCTCAGGTGATATTGATCTAAGAGATACTTCTCAAGTGATATTGAAGCCAGTGAGTGTTTATTCAAAAATTCAAACTTCCAAATCATTGTTTTCTTATAAAGATTATTTGCTTGTCTTTCACTGTAAGGCTGAAGATGGGTCACACATGTGAACTTCCAAATCACTGTTTGCATTCTTGCAGAAATAGGGTCAGCTATGGCCTAGAAACATCTTAATAGTTTTCTAACGTGGATGCTTACACATATACCTTCCTACATAAGTATGATGTCTTTGACATTAACAGTTTTTTAATGATTACTGTGGAATAATATATTCCCAAAAATTCTATTGGTTTTTGTAAAAAAGAAAAAAGTAAAGTTGCTTATGATCTTTATCATGTTGGATAGGATGAGTTTCGAAAGGTTCCATAATTGTGGGGTTGTCCATTGTCTAGGGCTTAGAATTAGGAAAAAGTTGCAGAGATTATTTAGATGTAATCATTTTTTCTTTCATAATTGCTATTCTGTTTTTACATTTCTGTCCTGTCTGCTTTCTTTTAGTAGACACCGTCTTCAGTCAAATAATTTGTGCTCTTTGCTTAAATCGTAAGTTCTTTAACGGATGCTCCCATTCCTCTTCCTTCTCCTTTACCTATTCTAGTTTTAAAGAAATTTTGTATAGAGTGGATTTGCCGAGTATAATGTTCCTCTCTAATGGAAAATGAAGATCAAATATGTCCCATGTAGCTCAGATCAGAGTTGGCCTTTGTGCTTTGCTATTCCAAATCTAATTCTTGTACCAATATCAAATTTTAACACTGCTAATTGCACCATTTTTGTAAAAAAGTTGGTAGCATTGATTATCATGACGCACAATTGGCAACTTGTCTGACAGCTTCCTTGAAAATGACCCAAGTGGAAATTAGTTCCTCAGTGAAGGTACTAGTGCTCTTGCCCCTAATGACTAATCTATAAGTCAAAAATCAAACTCGTCCATGGTCCTTGAATCTTTCTCCTTCTTGAGGTATCTACAAGACTAGCAAGTTTTCTCTCACAAACCCTTCATATTTACAATTACTTCATATTGATTCCGGTGCTGCAATCAACCAATAAACTAAACTGCAATTTTTTTTATTTTTTTTTTTCTGTTTTATTTATTTTCTATGAAGGAAAAATTAGATTGCAATTGTTGTATTGTAATTACTTGAACAAATAATTTGTGTATCCATGTGCTTTCATATTGTTTCTAATTGCAGCTATGCATATGTTGATTACAGTCGTGAAGAACTTTCTTATATTGAAGAGTTATAGTGAACAATAGGAACTGAAGGAATGAATTGAGTGGTTGCGAAGTGTTTTCATTGTAATTCAGTGAGCTCAAGAATCTCTGTGGTTCTTTCTTGAATAATGGGTTCAAGAATTCAGATCTGTTTGCTGGTTGTTTCTGTCCAAATTTTACTTGTAGCAGCGCTGACGAATAATGACTGTAAGTTCCATTCTTATGCCTAAATTGTTAATAGTTATATTATTGTTAAATGATATATGCATATGAGAGGCTCCAATATGTGTTCTTTCTTGCTTTGATTAATACAATCAAGAATACATCCCTGCTCATCAGTTAATGCATCCTCCAAAAACACAAAGTATATGCTAGTCCTGTTTATGGTTTCTTTCTAACGCCTCATTTATTGTGGGGTTGATCGCTGATAAAGGGGAAGAAACAAAAATGAAATAAAAAATTGTGTTTTATGTTGTTTCTTATAGTGAAAATTAAAATGATCTGCACTCCACTGCTGGATGTTATCTTCTCTTGGTTTCCAAATGACACAAGATTTGAGATTCAAAGTTTGAATAAATATACATTTTTACTTTTATTTTTAGCCCCAAGTCTTTCAGCAATCAAAGGAAAGCCTTACTCAAATAGGGTCTGGGTTTGAATATAGGCTGAAACATGAGTTGAAGGGTCCTAGCTATGGTCTTCTCGATTCACCACTGCGAGATTTTAAATGCATGTCCTTGACTGGGTTATAAGAAGCCATTTCTGTCTGGAGTTTTCTAATTTACCTGGGAATAATTTCCACAATGTAAGGATGTGAATCCCTTCCCACCTCTGGAATACATAGTTGCATTCCTACTATGTGGTAACTGCTTTCCGAAACTAGAAATCTTAGGTCTTATTTAGCATCAAGTTTTCAGCCTGCATACTAGTTTTGGGGTCACTTGGGAGCAAGCTTTAGATGTCCCAGTTCTTTAACCGAAATATCAAATGTTCTTTATTATTCAGAAATGGTAATCCTTGAAATAATAATTCTTGGTCAAATGAAATCTGTTAAGAGGCTGAGCTCCAGAAAGCTGTTCCTCTTTTTTTGTTTTTTTTTTTTGGATTTCTGGCTGCTGTTGGGATGGAATTCGGTGCAACAATTCATCACATGGTTATTTTTGCATTGCCCAAGTTGTTTAAGAAATGCCCACTGGAATTATGCACAGCACACTTGAATTATGCCACTACCAGAATTATGCACGCTTGAATTATCCCACTTGAATATTAAATTATGCAAACTTGAATTATGCCCTGTTTTTTTTTTTTTTTTTTTAGGAAGTGCGCACACAATTAAATTATGTTGAAAATTTGTAAACTTTTAAACCGCCAAACCGATTCGTATCTATATCTATTGCCAATCCGCCTCATACCGCTCAATCCGCATCCGCCGGATTGGCGGACGGATGCGGATTGATTTTCTCCAATCCGCCAATCTGGCAATGGCGGATTAGAGGTTCCGTGGCCGCAACCGATCCGCGCCCACCCCTAGCTAGTTGTCTCAATTCGATGTACATGTTTATAGGATTTAATTGATTTTTGCAAAGATACGGGTTTGCAATCCAGTGTTGTTGCCACTATCATGCTTCTCTGATAAATTTTCCAATTCTGTTTCTTTATTAGGTGCCTTACATCACTACTGCTTTGATGGATGCGAAGCTTGGCACGGAAGGGCGCAAGGATCTTTTTGATTGGCTATCAAGGCAACTTAGTGGATTAAGCAATTTTCCTGATGCTGTAAATCTGAATTATGTATTGTTTTAATTTGTTATGCTAGATGGATGTGACTTGTGAATGAAAACTTAGAATAGTTGTATTGTGTCGAATGTTAATGATTCAGTTAATTTGAATGATGCTTTAAAATTATAGCTTTATTATGGATTGAATGAATTATTAGGAATTACAGGTGTATTGTTTTCTTGCTTTGGCGACCAATTTAGTAGTCGTGCCAAATAAATTATTTTTTTTTGCAAAAAATGACAATTGCCGACCAAGAGTTTTGGTCGCAAAAAATACATCTATTGCCGACCAAAACAGCTCTTGGTCGTGGAAACTCACTTTTGCCGACCAAAAGTTTTGGTCGCGAAAATTAACAAATGGCGACCAAAACCTTTTTTGGTCGCGGAATGTCACGATTGGCGACCAAAATTTTTGGTCGCGGAATGTCACCATTGGCGACCAAACTTTTTGGTCGTTGAATGTGATAATTGGCGACCAAACTTTTTGGTCGGGAAAATATCACTTTTCGCGACCAAAGTGTTTTGGCGACAAAATAAATTAGTCGCGGTAATTAAATATTTAGCGACCAAAAATTTAGTCGCGAAATCCAACTTTTGCCGACCAACCACAATTTTGGTCGCGAATTACTTTTGCCGACCCTCAATTGGCGACCAAAGTAGCGACCAAAAAAATTAGTCGCGGATAACTTTTGCCGACCAAAAATTGACTTTTAGCGACCAATTTTTTTGTTGCTAAAAGTGTTAATTCTTGTAGTGACAATAGCTCTAGAAATAATATGATTGTGATTGTTTCAGAAGTTTTAAATAACTTGCACTTTTTTTCAATTTTTTTTTAAAATTATTTTCTCAAACTGATCTAAAATGTAAAAAAAATAAATAAACAAATAAATAAAGAATAATGCTTGGGACCCCCTTTTGGGGGTCACCCCCTCATCCCCTTTGCCACGTGGCGGGTGGTGATTGGAGGAGCAGGAAAAAAAAGAAAAAGAAAAAGAAAAAGTAACCAATGAGAGAGAGAGGGGGTCAAAGGGGGTGGGGGGAAAATGGGGGATGAATCATTGTTGATAAATAAATAAGAAGCCAAAATAAGCAAAACAGAATCCCCTAACTGTTTCTGAATTTTTTAAAAAATAAATTAAGTTTTTGATTCGTCAAATATAATTTAGAATTTCATTTTTTAAATCGCTAAATATGAAAATAAAACAAGAAAAAAAATCAAACTCTAAACAACCACAAAATCAATACCACAATGCTAATAACTGTGTTCGACGGTAAAAGATGTTTGGGGTAACATAGACAAATCTTGACTAACCTCCTTTCCAGTTCCGTTAAAGGTAAGTCACCCACACCTCGACTAATCTTTTTCTTCTCCAATTCAGTTAAAGGCATGTCATCCACACCTCAACTAATTTCTTTTATAATTCAATCAAAGGCAAGTCATCCACGCTGAGACTACAAATTCACAAGAAATTTCTTTATTATGGTATAATTATAAGAATTGAACTCTAAAAATCATATAGGGAGTAATACTCACCCATCATTATTATCAATGTTGTAATAATTAATTATTAACTCAACTTAACCTTGCTCATAAAAAAAATACCAAGGAAAAGGTTAAACAACGAAAACATCCTATAAAACGCAGCCAAACAGGGTCCAACTTGCAGGATGTTCACCCAGACGAGGGTTTAGCAGAGCGGCGAGAGAGAGAGAGAGAGAGATGGTAAGAGAGAGAGGCTTACCTGTGAGAGAGAGCCGATCGAACTACAGAGCAGCACATGGAGGCCACAGTCTTCTTCCCCCACCTCCTCATCCCTCCTCCCTCGACGCTCTCCCTTCTAAACTTCGCCACCTCATGTCCTTCACCAATTCCTCCCAACTCGGTTCTCTCTCTCTCTCTCTCTCTCTCTCTATATATATATATGTATGTGTGTGTGTATAGCTGCCCTAATTCGTTCATTACTTTCGTACAATTGGTAAAACTTTGAGTACAACACAATTCGGTTCAGATTGGACGATGTTTTTTTAAATTTTTATTTATTATTATTATTATTATTATTATTATTTTGAGTATCTGATTGAGTGATTTTTTTTTTTTTTTTGGTTTTAGGATCTGCAAAGACATCAGTGAGTAATGAACAAAGGACTGGAGGTGGTGTTGGCAGTGGAAACAACAAGGTAATCGCTTACACTCTGTTGTTATTTATTTATTTTTCCTGTTTTTAGTCATTAATTTTGTATTTGGGAACCTGAAAAGTTCATAAATTTTGGATTTTTTTTACTACCTTATGAGGTGAATTAGGCTGTCTTGAAATTGTATTTGTCACCCCTATAGCGATTACACCAGTAAACAAAATTTGGTAAGAAAATGTGGTCATTCTAAATAAACATAGCTTGGCTCTGATTATTATTTTTTATTTATTTTTAATTTTTTAAGGTTTCTCATGAACTTAGCTAAACCAGTGTATTAGGCCTGATTGCAAGAGGATGATTGTTATCCTTGGTTCTCTTAATGTGAGGATTTTCTTTTAATTTATTTATTTTATTTCTGACTACATTTTCTTAGCAATCAAATGGGGAAATTATTTAGCCTCCTAAGGCAAGGACTTGTGCTCCAACTCAATTTTTATTGGTTTGAACAGTGAGACCCACCACTTTCTGAGACCACCAATGCTCTAAAACCACTAAATAGCCTCTCAATCCAATGGAGCAAGGCTGAGATATTAGAGGCCTTTTTTGTGAGTTCTCAGTGGATTATGGTTATCTTTATTAGGGCATATTTACTGTCTTTTTGGAGTTTTCTATCTTTCACTGGCCTTTTGTGTGGTGTGGGTGTGGAGACAAGTATTTTGTAACATTTGTGAACGGATTAAGTTTCTTATTCGGGAAGCTGGAACCTTCATTTAATGAACAACAAATGTGTTGGTGTGAAGAGGAGAATAAAATCTTGTCATATTGCTCACCATGTGTGTGGTATTTCAGTACAAAAATGTAGAAAATTGGGTTTGTTGAAGGCTCTAGGCTAGGATCAATTTATTAATGAAATGGATTCTTTCTTAGTGCACCTTTTCACTACCTTACTTGAATACAGTGAACATCATAAATCCAAAAATGCACACAGACCTGTAAACTCTCTTGACTTTTGGACAATGTTAGGGCCCCTCAACATGTTTCCTAATACAATTTTTATTTGTAGCTAATAGAAAAAAAATTTGGGCTCAAAACTCCCAAAAGTGATATACATGTTGCTTATATTTCTTCTAATACTGTTACTGTGACCTTCTAGCCTACTGATTGGGCAATTTTAACAAACTTAACCACAGGGTCAAGGATTCAAGGACCTGCATCCCTCATGGACTCATCATCCTTATCTGCCTATACAGTATTCTCTAACATTTGATTGTGTAAAAATAGAATACATGAGCTAAGACCCTTGTAATGAAGCCTCAGCCTACTTTCGATTTTGTTGACTTTGCATTCTTAAAATTCTGTTTAGGATCTTGTGTTCTTAGTTGTGAAGTAGCATTAACGTCTTAGATGTGTTAGCCTTTGGTTTGGATTAATCATGCAGGCTTATTGGTGCAACCCATTGTTGAAAATAAACAAAGGGTTGATGAGGGAAAAAGAAATTGCTGATTATAAATAATAAAGTGAATGAGGAACAAACTGAGATTCCGTGGGTGTGACACGTTGCTAACATTTGTACTAAACATGGATGTGAAATATAATGGTAATGGTTATTAGTTACTGAGTTATTTAAGGTGTGCCTCCCTCTCCTTGATCGGCAGGTGAGTCTATAATTTAGTCACATTTTCCAAGTAATGGTGCTCATTTATATGGGGAAAGTTCTTTCCTTTTTTTTTTGGTTGGTGGAAGAACCAACCAGCTTGTAGGTATTTTAGTTCCTTTATTTCTAAATTGGTGTCTTTCCTTCAGCTGTCATGTTTGTGTTTTTGAGAATTTTATATATTCCATCATTGCTCATAAACTTTGGCGGTAGCCCTTGAAATGGATGAATTCTAGTACCATTAATTTTAGGAAGACATTTCTTTCTATTTACAGAAACTTCATTCAAAGGATAAGCTTGACTCTAAATCTACTGGAATCAGAGGGGAAGATAATGATGGAAGTTCAGTGACTCTGCAACATATGGATCATGATGATGAGATTTTTCAAAATAGCACACAAGAAAAGAGAAGGAAAACGAAAAAAAGGAAGCGTGTTAGTGACCTTCGGTTTGAAGCATTAGAGGAATCAGGTGTTGGTCAGAAAAGAAAAGAGCGTAAGAAAAAGTAAGTTTTTGTTACACACTCTCTCTCTTTCTCTCATTTTCCATTTTGCAAGCTTGATTTGTGTGAAATCGTTATGGTGAATAGTTTATACTGTTTCACAAAATTTACATTTATCTTCTGTTAGTAATGACTGATGTTTTAACAGAAACAATTACTAGGGACACTAGGGAGTGACCTTGATAAAGATGTACACACTTCCAAATGAGTACAATGTTATCAAATCTGTTTGAGTTTTATCTCATTTTTTATCTTTGGGTTTCTGATGGGTCTATAATGTTGCCCTCATATATGCCAAACAGTAGGGGATTGATCTTAATAAAGATGTAGACACTTCCAAATGAGTACAATATTTGGTATAAAATCTGTTTCAGTTTTACCTCATTTTTGAACTTTGGGTTTCTGATGGGTCTATAATTTTGCCCTCATTTTGTGAGTTACTTTTTCTTGTTCATTGAAAACTTGTGTATCAATCTGGTGATCTAGTGTCTCATCAAAAAAAAAAAAAAAAAAAAAAAAAAAAAAAAAAAAAAATCTGGTGATCTAGTGTATTAAGTAACTATATTGATCATTCCTGTCTCTACTTTACTTTTTCTCATTTCCTGGAGCTTATTCTCTTCCAATGCAGTTCACCTTTGAACATTTAGATGATTTAACTTTAGTTATATGTAGGCGTTTAGAAGCAATGAAAAAGAAACACAAAAAGGCGAAGGCAGAAGAGAATGAGGACTTTCCTGGATGTGAAAAGATCAAATTTGGAGACGTTGTTCAAGCTCCGCCAAAATTGGTTGCAATTCCTAAGGTAAAATTCAATATCCTTCAATATTACCTAACAAACTAATAGTCTTCAGTTTCAACTCATAAGCTTTTCCATGTCATGAAGGCATTGAAGAGCTCCCAAGATGCTTCACAAGAAAGGCTTCGCTTGAAGGCTGTTGAGGCCTATAGGAATAGGAAAGGGTGGGCATCAAGGCCGGGGATTGACCTTCCTCCGCCCATTTTGACACCGCCATCAGGTTAATTAGCATCAATGTAATAGTCGTTTATCTTATCATTGTCCTTTCTGCAAGCTTTTGAGACAGTTCCGTCTTTAGTCTCATGATTATAGTGAATTGCGCTACTGCTTCTGTAATCAATAGAGAGAGAACTTTTCTTTTTGTTTTAACAGAGAAATTGGAATCGCTTTGTCATTTCCTCGAATTCATTTGGTTGTTATCATTATATAAACAAATTTAATCCCTGTGTTATTCATTTTGAAGTTTAATGGTCACTATGAGCAGCTTGACTTGCCCTAATAACTTGATATTGATCATATATATTGCCTTCTAATACCTGCAATTCTGAACTAACACTAGTAGTTTTCAGCCAAAAAAACCAACTTTTTAGGCAAGTATGTTCATATTTTGTGGTAAGTAGAGTCAATTCCCGTGTTATGTAGGGTTAGATCCTGGCAAGTAAGGTGCTATTGTGTGATAAGTACGATCAGAATCACTTCATTTTTTGAAAAAAAATCACATCTTTTGTGTGTATTTAGTTTACTTATTACAAAATCAATGGCTGGATTTGTCTCTTATCCAGATCTAACAGTTGAGAATAATTTTTGGATGGAATATTCAAAACTCACTTTTTTGTACGATTGAAAAATCCCTATATATGTTAACGCTATGTTTCTTTGCACTTGGGAGTGTGCTCTACATTTGTGAGAAACTCGTTGCTACAATATATGAAAAATGCTACACAAATTAACATATTTTATAATTTTTTTACGAAACAATATTAACTCTAATGATACGACAAGCCTCAATAAAAAAATCATAATTTAATAACATCACTGTAGAATATATATATACCTTATTATATAGATTTTGCATTGAAAATTGTGGCTATTTCTTGGAAATCTCATGAAAATTATGGTTGCAAACTTTCAAACACCACATATTAATACATACAATGAGCAAGATTTTTACAGCACATGTTAAGTGTCATTGTCCTGTAACTAACAAGTGACTTGTCGTTGTTTTAGGATTTGCTTGGCAACTTGCCAACTTTCACATTACTGCACACTGAATTACAATGAATTTCAATAGAGAATTGAAAAAGAGCGAGGAAAAGGGGAGGGCAATGTGAACAGAATATAAGTCAATTTTTTTTTTTTTTTCATTTTCCTCGCCTTTTCCTTTACTATTTCAAATGTCTATTCAAATCCATCATCCAAACATAACTCAAAATTTATTTCAAAAAGAAAAAAGAACACTGCCAAAAACTACATGTGAGGTTCTAGACAGCTAATCTGTGGAAGGCGCGGACATGGAGGCCCCTGTCAATGTGAAGATTAATCATCGTCCTGTAATTAACAGCTTTCGTGTCATCGCTCAGTTTGAACACGAAACAGCCTAACAGGACAGCCGAGAAGATTTTCATCTGCCTATAAGCGAATTCCTTTCCCAGACAAATTCGTGGCCCAGCCTGTTCATCAGCAGCAGTAGATATCAGCTTAGTTTCTTTAAATGGAAAGTGTTCAGAGTGCTTTTATCCAAGGTGAGATTGAATTGAATGCAAAATAGAAGTAAGCATTGAATTCTTTCAGTAGTTCAATAACATCTTAATACTCCGTTTCTTTTGACAAAAAAAGTTTTCCATAAAATATACCAACTAGCCAAACCAAACTTTAAGTTCCATTAAATGAAATTTTTTCATAAAATATATATATATATATATTGGGTACAAACAAAATATGTTTTCCGTGACAGAAAATAAGCTTATTCGGATATAAAATATTTTTCACTTTTGAAGATGAAAAACGTTGTCCGGACTAACATTGCTATTGTTGCCACAACTATCAATGTTTAATGAATTATTTAAAATAAATCAAATATCCATGTTGAACAACCAATACTTGGACAAAGGTGTGGGATGTGTTTGATTTTTTGTACCAGGCACTTCTTTTTTTCATAGAAAACGTTTTTCATAAGAAAATGTTTTTGGCAGAAACAAACGGAGCAAAAGTGTAGACAACACAACCAGATAAGTAAAACTTTTTATGTAATTACCGTGAGTTTGATAAGTAAAATGTATGGTTCTAACCTGGAATGCTGTAAATTTGAAAGGGCTTTCTTGTCGGAAGATACCATTCTCATCAAGCCATCTCTCTGGTCTGAACTCTTCTGCATCGTCACCCCATAAAAATTTCATCCTCCCCATTGCATACGGTTGATAAGCCACCATATCCCCTTTTCTCACACTGAACCCATCTGGTAGTGTATCGTCTGAGAAGCATATCTTCGCATCCTATGATCAGAGTCTCGAGATTAGTCCTTCATCATGAAATAGTTGGGGCAAGGTTTTGTCATGTGCTAATTATTTGGAATTAAAATTATGAACATTTCAGAATTTTAAACTAGAATCTGTAGTCAAATTGGAAAGATTAGTCATAACGTCAAAATGCAACACAGCTCGTAAATGATTTTGTATAATATTTTAAGAATAAAACAATCATATTTGCTATTAAAGAAACACTATTAGTTTCTCTCGTGAATGAGAGATAAAATTTTTCTATTTTTCCTAAATTCCATTTAATTTAAAGTACATTTCTAAATAATTTCACCATCTTATCTAATAATACTATACAATATGCAACTACAAGTGTTCAAGACGTTTCCCCATACCTATACCAAACTTTCGGATGCATATTCCAATATCCTTAGATTTACATTTAGAAAGATCTGACACTTTGACACACACATGCACCCAATTCTTGTACCCGAGTGCATATAACATAGCTGACGAGTGTCATATTGTGTCGACCGACACAACACTTTCCTAAAAGTATTGGTGTTTCTTAGAACGAGTCAATGAAATATTTTTGGTATATGTTTCTCCTAATTGAAAAACTTCTGTATATTTTGGAATGTCTTCCAAATTGGGAATATTTTGAAAATTTTGTTCCTTGTTATGAAATTCATTGCCTGTTCGTTTCAAAGAGGATAAACATAACTAAGAATCACATTTAAGGGAAAATGTTCCATTACCACCGGAACTGCAGGGTAGAGTCTGAGAGTCTCGGTTAAAGCCGCATGGAGATACTGCATCTTTTCAAAAGCGTCCTCGCGCATACTTGCTGCAAACTCAGCAAAGTTTGTAACCTCTTCGATGCCGGTTGCTTCTTTAATTTCTTGTGCAACCTTTTCCTGTATGGTCGGATGTTTGGACACCATGTAAATGAACCACGAAAGAGTGGTCGCTGTTGTGTCTTTGCCAGCAATTATGAAATTAAGAATTATGTCTCGTAAGTACTTTGGATCCGTTTCACTCACTTGCAGAAACCTTGATAAGATGTCTTCTTTCTTTGTCTGGTAATGTATTGTATAGAATGAAAAAGTTAAGATTATATATATATCTCACTTATTTGATCAAATAAAAAACTTTGGATTGTTCACTTACAGAAGGATCATTGGGTGACTTGTCCATTTGCTCAATCTTGCTACGGATTAGCTTGTACACAAAAGCATCGATAACTTTGACATTTTTCTTTAACTCAGCTTGCGCTCCAACATTCAAAGCTTTCTTTATCTTCCAAAAGACATCAACATATCGCAACAGAGTCATTGCACTTGAATCATCAAAGGCATTGCTAAACTTGGCGCCTTCTTCACTCGATCCGCACATACTGTCCAGTTCAACTCCAAAGGCCACTTTGAATATTGAATCTAAGGTTGATTTCATAAACAGATCCTACATCGATTATTACATTAGTGTTTAGGGGTACGTCATGAAATTGAAAACTTTTACAGTGTGTTTGGTTGGAGAATTTGAGAGTGGATTTGAAAAGAAAAAGAGAAAAGGTAGGTGAAACGTGAACAAAATATACCTACATTTCACCTAGTTTGACACACATTTTCTCTTTTCTTTTCCAAATTCCTTTTTAAATCTCCCAACCAAACAGTGCCTTAGTCTGCAGACTCACTTGAATATCCATTATTTGGTTGGAAGTTGCAGCTTCAGAGATGAGATTGGCAAGTTTTGCAACATTTTTCTGGAAGACCACGCTGCTGAAGTCCCTCAATACCTTGGTGGAGAATTCATGGCTTGATACTTTTCGCTGTTGGCGCCACTTGTCTCCATCGACTGTGAAAATTCCATCGCCTAATAGATCCCTTAAGATGCAGTAATTATACCCCCCCTGCACATTGTTTCAAACACCTAAATTGCAAGCTCCAGATGACAAAGTTTTCATTCAAGTTATATGATTGATGATAAAACCATCACCGGTTCCATTTGCCTTAAATGAAATGAAATCACCCTAAAAATGTGAATGTGCTTAGCAATGAGGCATAATCACTATAGTGGCAAGCCAAGCTACATTAGCAAAGATTATGATGTATCCAAATATGTATATACAAGAAAAAAATGCGACACATTGCACAAGACTCCTGCTAAAGTGTGACCTATGAAGTTATACTCCTATTTCTAGGGTGGTCGTTTCCGTGACTTGAACCTACGTACGCCACCAAGATGCTAACAATAGCAAGTTTTTACCATTAGGCCAAGCCACTCATACCATCAATGATATTTAGATATTTATTTAGAAAAAGAGGAAGACATGTTCAGTTATATGTATATAATTATGTTTATTATAATAACGTGTATAATTAGTTTTAGTTAGGATTTTGAATTTAAAATAAAAAACAAAAGATTAAAATGAAATGACATTTTTGTCTTTTTGTTCACTACTTATAGACAAATCCATATAAAAAGTGGGTTTTGCCATGTAACTTTTTGGGTAGACAAGTGAGGTTGGAACTCAAATCATATGTCATGTTTGGTAGGATTTATTTTCAGCTTATTTTAGTTTTTAACTTAATTTAAGTTATTTTGAAGTATTTAGTTTAGCTTAATAATATAACTTATAACTTTTATAGCTTTTTGTAAGGCAAAAATTAACTTATTCTTTGAGTGGGAAAGAAAAACTTAATTTATAAATCAAAAATCAACTTATAAGCTGTTAACCATTAAATTATAATCATTTTTCCACAACTTTACCAAACGGGCTATAAAGTGGATTTTTCGCTATAACTTTTTGGGTAGACGGGTGAGGTTCGAACACAAATCTATAAAGTCAATTTTGCCCCAAAATTTATAGTTAGACAGTGAGATTTGAACACAAAATTTATTATCTCTATTGTCTGCTATGATACCATCCATATACCATCAAACCATCACTGAAATGGGTTAAAATCTCTGATACTATTCTGAATTATTAACCACCAAATATCTAAAAGCTTGTGCTGTAGAGAAAGGGGTAAAGTATATCATTTATATTTTCAACAACAACTATTACAACATCAAAACTAATTTAAAAAATGAGGGCATACCTTGCCATAATTTTCAAAGTTAGTTTTGAGAATATACTCAACATTTGCAGGGTCAGAAGTGTAAATCTCATTCCTGAAAGGGCTAATCAACCTGTAGGTCTTGTTCTTTGCGGCAAGATCAGTCATGTAATGATGGAGCCTCTTGAAATTGATTAGCTGATTGAATACAGTCCCACTGATTGGAGGGTACTTTTTCTTGTTTCCATGGAGTTTTCTAGCAAGGATTTGGAGAGAGAGAAAAGAGAGGATAAGGTAGATAAGCAAGGCTGGTATAGAGATGAAGCTAAAGAGAGAATCCATGGAAGTCAATAGCTTGGTAATGGAAGATTGTAGTGTCGGTCAATGAATGGCTCTGTACTGAAAAATGGAAAGCGGTTCCAAAAATTACTAACAGTGATGATCTAGAGTTCTAAATATAGGTCTAATTTAAAAATAAAAAAAAATTAAGTTAAAATATCACAAGATGGACTCACATAACTGCTACATCATTGATACTAAAGCTGTTTTCAATTACTAAGCCTTTGTTGGGATATGGGTCGATTTTTTTTAATTATTTTAGTTTGAAGTTGGTTTTTTTTTTTTTTTAAGAGAAAAAATAAAGGGATATCCATCCATAAATCTTATTTGATAAACAGTTTTATCGATTGGTCTTAAAGTTATTTCTATTGTTCTGATTAGTCCTATTAGTGGGGGAATATCTTACCAGTTAATCTTATTTCCTTTGTTTGGTAACATTGAGGGGTCAAATATATCCTTCCTTGTGTGTCTCACGTGAGATACATTATTCTAAGGCAAAAAGCATAAAGAGCTTTAGTGAACATCAACATTGTTGATGTATGGCACCCACCGATCACCCACCCACCGATCACCTTCATAAAGAGCCTTAGTGTACTATATTGATGTGTGGCACCCACCGATCACCTTCATAAAGACACGTGCCAAACACTGTGCGTCACGTGACATACATTATTTCAAGGCAAAAAGTATAAAGAGCCTTAGTGCACTTTGTTGATATGTTGCACCCACCGATCACCCTCAATGTGACACGTGCTGAATACAAATTTCGGAAACACACAAACATGAGGTTGTGCCACACCACACCATCACCTTTTCAAGCGTTCAGAAAAATATATAGTGGTATTTACGTCATTGAGCAATAGAAAGGACTAAATAGATCAAAAGAAAAAAAGTTTGGACTAAATGGAGCACAATTTCAATATTTAGGATTTATTGATAACTTTTCCAAAAATAAAATAGTTATAATTTAGATGTGACATTTAGTTTTATTGAATTACAAAGTGGGTGTTGGGAAGTGATTTTTTTTAGATTTTTTGACTTTTTAGCTAGTTTAATTTTTGTGTTTGAAAAGATAAAATGAATTTTTTAAGAAGAATTGTATAAAAAAATATGTTTGAATTGATAATAAAATGTAAATTGATCAAATTAGCCATACTGATATTTATAAATTACAGAAGGTACATGTCCACGTGGCAGTATTAACACTGCCACCGTTGTCCTATGTTCCCTTTGGATGCAAACATTTGTTTGCAAAAAATTAATTAAAGTTGTTGTTAGTTGGACATATAAAAATTAATTAAAATTTTTATATAATTGAAATTTTTATCTATTTCTACAAAAAAAATTAAAAATATTTGTTTGCAAATATTTGTTTTAATTTTTACAAATAAAAATTAATTAAAATTTTGTTTGGTTTAGTGAATTTGGGGAGAAAAAAATTCAAAATAGAGTAGTTTTTGAGATAAAAGTATGAAAATTTGTTTGGTTTGTCTTTTTCAGAAATGATTTTGGAAAATTATTTTGGGGAGAGAGTTTTAAAAAAAGTGATTGATTTGATGTGTATGAGAGAGAGAGCGATTTTGGAAAGTAGGTAACCAAACAAAATTTTGAGATTTTTTTTTGAAAAATTTGTTTGGTTTGATTACTTTTAAAAATTTGTTTGTAGAGATTTTTCCCATAAATTTTTCTGAAAAATAAACCAAACAAGGCCAAAATCACTTTCTACCTCCTACACATCAATCAATCACTTTTTATCTCTTCTCTCTCCTTCTCAATCATTTTTTTTCTCACACACATTTACTCAACTATAACAAAATTATTTCCAAAACTACCATACTCCAAAGTTATTTCCAAAATATATAGCCAAACAAATTAAAAAAAATTCGACCTTGGGTTACCGAAATTATTTTCAAAATTTATCTCCCAAAACCAAACCAAACAAAGCCTAAGTTTTTATTCAATTTTTTTTTGTTCCAAAATATTTGTATCTTTTTAAAAATTAATGAAAAAATACTATGAATTTTATATTTTATCATTCTTTGAAATTCATTACTACTACAAAATACACAATGATGACAACTGCTACTTAAAAAAAAAAAAAAAAAAAAAAAAAAAAAAAAAAAAAAAAAAGAAGAAGAAGAAGAAGAAGAAGGAGAAAATGGTGAATTTCAGATAATTTGTGAAGTGAGAAAATAAAACTTTACAAAAATAGACAAATGTGGCTACCAAATTTGGCCTTCACTTATACAACCGGTTAATTTAAAAAAAAATTATAAAGGCAATCTACATTTAAATAGTAAATGATAACACATAGTACTTAAAAAAAAAATTAAAATTGCAACACATTTGCATTGTCCTTACACAAATTACAAATTAAAATAAATTTCTTAGTCACATTGCCTGCAACGTTGCCTTACAGGTATTGAAATTAGGAATTCAAATGAATGAGAAATTCATATGCACGTTTATTGGTTACGTTAAAAAATAATTAGTTAATTAAATTGGGAATTTTATCGAAATTTGATTGTCAATTTACATAAATTTCGAATGCATATCAAAATTATAAAGATAACAAATTGATCGTATGACGACAACTTATGACAAAGAAGAAATGTTGTTCTCAAATTTAGGAATTATAGTAAATTTCATAAAAATCCTAACATCATGCGACATATGCGTTGCATAAATAGAAATTATAAATTACACTAACATACAAATTAGATAACAAGCATTTCACAGTAGTCCTTGATTCCATATGTGAAACAAATGGTCACGGATGTAAACACGAACTCTAGCCATATCTACATCCGTACCCCCAACTATGAAGCCATCATTCATATTTTGTCATCCTTCCACGGTGGGCATGTCATCCAGAACTGAGAAACAGTTGACATGTTCGTTGTGTGCATTAGTAGCTATCTCATGTCTATGGATGAAATTGTGTAAGGCCATTGATGCACCAACCAATGGCACCTACACTACCGCAAAATCATAGTTGGGCATGTCGTTGAGGAACTTCCAACGCAATTTTCACACTCCAAAAGTTCTTTCCATCACGCTCCTCAATGATGCGTGCACCTCGTTAAATAATTCTCTTAGGTTATCTGGTTGTCCATGATCCCGGAACTGTACTTAGTGATACCGAGACCCTTTGTATGGTGCCAAATATCTTTTTTGTTTGGATGTCCCGCATCCACAAGGTAATATTTACCTACATTTGCTTAATCATTTTAACGTATATACAACAAAATTAATAATGAGTACTTAATTTCAAATGTTACCTTCTTGGGGGTACGAGAACGGTGCATGTTCGTTCTCAATTATTTCCTTGAAGATGCGACTATCATGTATGCTTTCTTCCCAACTATAAGATATGAAAATGAAGCACATGTCGAAGTCGCATACTGCTAGTATGTTTTGGGTTAGATATCCTTTGCAGCCGTAAGATGTGCCAGCATCACGAGCAGGCAACACGGCTTCTACATGAGTATCGTCCAACGCTCCAATACAATGTTGCACCAATAACGTACAACACATGAGGTTCACATACAACACATAAATGAAAAGTAACTGATAACGGCAACTAATATGCTAACCTTGAAAGGCACGTATTTCCCTCTAGATCGCAAATATGGATGCCTATTATTTTGATCTCTAGTGGGCTTACAATGCACTTCTATGAACAACTTCATTACTTCCAACATTGCATGGAAATGTCATGACATAGTTTCTCCCGAGTGTTGGAACCGTTCCAGAATTTTTCGGTTAGTGCAGCCGTCTAACGTATGGATGAACATCGCAACACTTTCTTCAATGTGTAATCCATGGGGTCTTGTAGTTACCCGTAAACCGAAGCCTCGTCGCAATGTGTCACACAGCGCTTGAAACACATATAGCGGCATATGAAATTTTGTTCACACCTGCCTACGTGCCCATCAAATAATTCTTGAATCCAGGCACAACTGGTCAGAATAGAAGTTCGACATGGGATCTTCTCCATGTACTTCAAGTAATATTCCAATGCATGCTACGCAACGTCACCAATTACGCTGTTTTGTAGGTCTTCCTGTTCATCAACGAGTTCAACGATTACATTATCGTAATTTCGATGGTTGCTACTTTGACCGTTCCACATTTTGCAATTGATGACTCCTACAATGCACACAACGGACACATCAATTGTCCACTTGTAAACTAAGCACATTTGAAAACAATTTTCAAAATTTAAATAAGCAACCATCCGTACATCCACATGAGTATACCGAATATCGAGACTAATCCATTACATTACATTCAACCATTAAAGTTCACAATGCAAAAAAGTAAAGGTTAAACCGTGATTCCATATTGCATAACACAAAAGTAGATAGCGTTCACAAAAGTAAACTAACAGTAACTAAAGCAAAGTGCAACCACACACACAAAAAAAAAAAAAAAAAAAAAAAAAAAAGTTTCAAAACTTGTCCACGAAAACCACACTAAAACAAACCATTTCCGGTTCCATTTTTGCCTAACAGAATAAACCCAAGTAGTCACAACCCTTTTGAAGCCTGCAATGCTGCAAGCCACCCAACTATATTCTCATCATTTGGCATGCACATCAACATTTCTCGGTAATCCGTGTTCTCTAACGCAATGCAGGCAAAATGGAATAGGGGGTACTGATGAAGTCCAGGATAGCCATAATCCGCTGCATACATGCCTTAATGCCATACTTCTGCGATGCACTAGTTTCGTGCCTGACCATCAGGTGCTTTTGTGACCGAACCGCTTAAGACAGATGGTTGAAACTATCCGCAAGCACCGATGCTTCACTAGAGATCTTCTTCGACTTTCCACTAGTGCTACCTCCATTTTTCCTATTTGCCCCGAGGTCTGCTTCGTCAAGATGGACGGTGAGGGAGTTTGGAGGTGAGTCAACGACCGGTCTATATGGCTTGGTAAATGGTGGTAACCCAGGAGAGTCCACTGAGTCGGATTCACCTTCGCCAACATCCGCAGCCTTCCCCCCCGACGTCCAATGGTGTTTTCCACTCGCAGTTGCACCGGTGAATACTTCACGCATCAACGCTTCATGCTCCAATGGTTTGGTCTTGAATTTGTAAGCGATCTTGTTTGTCTGCAAATAAAAATTAAAATTAAAATTTAATTTTTTCCTCACAATGACATAGGACAATAATTTTAGTAACAAGTACAAGTTACTGTGAAACTTTCATAATTTATTACATAAAATAAAATTTAAATTGGTACATATCGATTTCATCTTTTCCCACCACTCTTCCAACGCTGTGAATAACCCGGTTTCCTTGTCAAACCCAATGCCGATGACACTCTTACTGCTATCCATCAACTTGTTCCAAGCTTGCCATTCCTTTTTCAAACTGTTGTACTTGCTCTTCAACTGTTTCATTTCATGACGTCTACCTGTGCGCTTAGTGAATTTCAGTGTAATTTCCTTATACCTTGTTATGATTATGGTTGTACCTACCCGCCAGCCCGCTAATATTTCGTCCCTAACACACTCTAGGAAGATTTTTGTAGTTGCACTGTCCCAATTCGCCTTATGTGCATAACCCAAGTCATCAGCAAATCCTTCGATAACTGATGGGCCAACCCCTTTATTTTTAAAAGAGGTGCGAGGGGACGACCGTGTTACAGTCATTCGACTAATGTGAGAGGACGTATTGTACACATTAGTACCCATATGATGAATACATTTCAGACAATAAACTACGAACCATATGCAAAAGAGAACAACAACAAAGTTTAACAAAACTAGTACGATAATCACTAACAGAATATAGTGTTTACATAAAAACGATCACAATGCAGTTACTTGTTCAAAACATTACTTCTTCAAAACATTACTTATGTTTAAGGGTAATGACTTGCACATGTTATCGTTCAGAACCGGAAGGTGTGGATGTGGAGGGGTTACACTAGGGTCTACAATGACCTCCATGCTAATGGTTGGGCTCCTCCAAGGGTTCACATGGAACTTGCCACCCACTATTTCACATATTGAGCTCAAAGAATCTCCGGGTGACCTACTTCTCACTTTGAACAAGACCAGGGTTTATGTGTGAAACAAAAAGGCAAAAACAATGGTAAATGGTGGTATCTTGTTTTACTTTCAAGTTTGCACTAAGTGAAGTGTTTTGTTTTGTAAGGAGTGATCTGTTGAACGCGACTGAGTATATATAAAAAAAAAAAAAAACTAATTTCAGCAGCACAAAGTAAAAAAAAACAAAAAACTAGTACTGGACAACAGATTTTCTATCAAAGAAATTTTTTTACAAAAAATTTTGTTTGCTGAGCAAAGAAGAAACCAACAGAACACAAAAGAAAAAATTATGTTTGCTGAGCAAAGAAAAAACCAACTTATACTTTCTATTTTTTGTTGGACAAGAACACAAAAGCAAGATCGTTGACTGAACCACCGAAGTTGGAACAACAAAAAAAAAATATTTGAAGCGGATTACATCATCATAGGTGCGGATTGGTGGACGGAAGAAGAAAATGCCATCAATATTTGCCAAATCATAGTAAGATCTGAAACAATAGGTTGAAAACTAGCAAGACCAAGTTCGCCAATGAAGAAGAAGCACAGAAATTGGGTTTGGCTACCGTACATGTCCCAGATTTTCGACGATCGGCGAGAAGATAGTCAGCTACTTTGTCTCTCTGCAACAGTTTCGCTGGACTGAGTTGCCGGAGAGAGGTATTGCATTCTTCTGTGAAACCCTCCATTTAGACCCAAAGTACATGTGATAAGATGAGAGATATGAATTCAGTAGTAGGTATTTGGTTGTTAGATAGGAGCAACAGAGGGTAAAAATATCTTTTTACCCAAATAATGCCATACAGCTGGATTGCAGCTCCAGTACTCAGCTATAGTGCAACTTTTTGAATTTTTTCCTGTTGAGGCTAAATAGCTTGCCAACCACGTTCCCAAACACCGCCAAAGTCTATTTTATTTTTTATTTTTTTTGACTAAAATAGCCCTAACCCAACCCAAACATTTATGCCAAACAAACCCTAAAAGTGGGAATTGGTTTTGCTAATTATAGTAGAGGTGAGAAGCCAAAAAAATTATGGCTGGTTTGAGAATTTACAATTTTAGTGGATTTTATAATTTTTTATAAAAAGATTTATACAAAAGTAAAAAATGATGTGATAATTTATAGTGATTTTTTAATTTTTTAGTTGTATTAGCCATTCTCCAAACACACTTTACCTTCAATTTTATGAAAAAATTACACTTCATACTCTAATATTTTTATCAAAATTTTACTTTAATCCGTTTACTTTCAATTGTAATAGCTAACTCTATACACTTTAAATCAAATTACAATTTCACCACTCCATCCATCTACAGTTATTAAGGCTAACAAAAATTACAAATAAAGAGAGTAAAGTGAGATTTTAGTAAAAATATTAGGTCATGTTTGTTTGACTCCGTAGATGGAGGATTGGACCACTAATCCTAGGGCCTACATAGCTCATGTTTGATTGACAAAAATAGAAAGAGACTAGTAGTCCTATGGGACTATGAATACCTTCACATAATGGGATTAGCTAGGGGGATTGGTAATCCAATCCCATGGGATTAGATGTTAAAAGACAATTTTACCCTTATATTATAAAAGCATCAAATCTGATAATTATACAATGATAGTTCAAAAAAAAAATTTATAATACAATGAGGGTGTTCACGTAATTTTACAGATTTAATCTTAACAAACTAATACCACCACATTAGTATACAAACAAACACTCATTATCATACATCTCCAAATTAATACTACCACATTAATAATCTCCTCATTCAATTCTGTTGTACTTATAGTTCCATCCAACTTAATATGTTAAACAAACGAGGCCTAAGGGTGTTAATGAGATGAGAAAACTATCACACATGTTTCAAATGATAAGTTTTGTCAACATTTTTTAATAGCAAATGGATAAAAGGGTAACAATATTGCAACTGAACTTAAAAGTATAGAGCGTTGACTATTATAATTGAAAATAAAAGAACTAAAGTAAGATTTGGTAAAAATGAAAGGGTTATAAATATAATTAACCCCAATTTTATTTTACTTATAATTGTTTCAGCCAACCATCAGACTTCGAGTATAGTTATAATTTAGTACATTTACATAACATCGTTTTGAAAGTTAACAGAGAACAACATATAAGTATTAATTATACTTAGCATCATTATATTTTTATTAAAATCTTACTTTAGCCCCTCCACTTTAGTCCTCATCATCTTTATACTTGTACTAGCCTTCTTTGGTAAGTGATGATTTTAGCCAAAAAGTCAAAAAGTTGCTAAAAAAAATTAAAAAACTAACAATCTATATTAAAAAGTCAAAGATTCTATTTTCTCTCTATTTTTTACACATCTTTTCGTAAAAAATTAAAATGTCATTCCAAACATATTAATTTTTTTTACATCGTATTTTAACAAAAAAACTAAAAAGTTACTAAAAAAGCTATTCCCAAACGAGGCCTAAAATCTACTTTACTCCGTATACTTCAGTTTCTCTATCAATTTTTGAAAAGGTGTTATAAGATTGGGCTTAATTATTACTTGACTCGAAATTTAAGAAGTTGATTAGGACAATTAATAGGTTGTTATTATCTTTACATAGTTGTAATGGATAATTTTCATTACATCATCTAACAGTTGTGAAAGAAAAATGCTTGGGAGGATTAATTGGCACTCCCAATCCACCCCTAATCCACCCCTAATAACATGGAATGGATCATATGAATGAGTAGAGACACACTCCTCTCTCTCTCTCTCTCTCTCACACACACACACACACACATATTAGAGATCAAAATGGGAATGCTATATTGGTGGGATGTAAATGGTTGAGTTGTGAAAATACTACTTCAATGAGTGTTAAATAATGATAAATTTACATGCCTATTTTAAAGTCTTTGAATAAATAATGGAGATCTTCTATTACAACTGAGAAATTGAAAAAGTGAAGATCGTACGGGACAATGCATTTTGACAACATAATAAAAAGTCTATTTTTTGATTTTTTAACTTTTTTAGATCACATCACTTTTTTATTTTTTTTTACACAAAAAAAATCAAAAAATTTAATTTTTTTTTTATCAACTTTCCAAAACATCACATAAGATCGAAATAGAATCAATTTCAACGATACATAAGATCATATTACGTACTGAGAAGTTATTCCATGAGCCGTGTGTCCGATAAATAAAAACAATACATGCAAGAGAAAAAAAATAGTCATAACAATAATAATAATAATAAAAATTAAGAACTTGCCAATGTGTCACTAATTCAAAAAAAATATAACTATCCCTTCTTTTAAAATTTCAGACGTGATGCATCAGACCAACTGAATAATTTCTCAATATTACCGCACAATATAATCTCATCGCCTGGTAAGGATAGTTGGATGCCAAAGTGATTGTGATGATTAAAGTCAGTTTCACTGATTTGTTGTTGTGGCAAGTATAATTTTTGAGCTGAAATATAATTAAAAAAATAAATATAATTTTTGAGCTGAAATATAATTTTTACATCATTCGATGACACTTTTGAATAATGTTGAAAACTCTCAGGTTTCAACTGCCACATATCGGTTATGGGTCCCTTTCTATTATCCCAGAGCCTAAGTCTACGGATGCCGTGATAACACCACAAGACATCCTTTTTCCTGGTTAAAAAAAAAAAAAAAACTGCCACATATCAATATATATAATGAACAATGAGCAAAGATTTTTCTATATCACGTGCGAAGAAATCTGCACAAGGTAACTGACATGGAGCCCGCCACAAACAATATGAATATTAATCAATTATTGTCCAACTTAGTTTTGGATTTTCTTGCCAACTTTCCAACTCTCACACTTAACACATACAATGAATTACAAACATCAACATCTTTATACTACGTCTCTATTTGTTTGTTTCGACAGAAAATTATTTTTAAAAAGATACGTTTCTATTTTCTGACGTTTGATAGGGACTAAAAACAAGAGTTTATTTGGGTAACCACACTACCACTGTTGCCTCATCCCCTTTACTGCTACTAACACCACAATTAGTATATGTAAGTTTTAAAATTATAACCAAACATGGGAAAATATTTTCTGTCGAAACAAACAGAGCATTTACACACTGGATCTGTGGAAGGCGCGGATTTGGAGGCCCCCATCAACGTGAAGATTAATCATCGTCCTGTAATTGACCGGTTTATTGGGATCGCTCAATTTGAACACAAAACAGCCCAACAGGACAGCCGAGAAGATTTTCATCTGCCTATAAGCGAATTCCTTTCCCAGACAAATTCTCGGCCCAGCCTGTTCATCAGCAGCAGAAGATTTGAACTTAGTTTCTTTGATGGAAGTGTCATCAAGAATTCTATTTAATCAGCGTGAGATAGAATTAAATGCAAAATAGAAGTGTGCATTGAATTCTCTATTTGTTTCCGCAGAAAATGTCTTCTGATTTTTGATTAAAAACAAAATTCTAATGGAAAATGTATTCTGTAATTTCAGCAAATTTGATATGTAAAATTCATTGTGCTAACCTGGAATGCTGTGAATTTGAAAGGGCTTTCTGGCCGGAAGATACCATTCTCATCGAGCCATCTCTCTGGTCTGAATTCCGCTGCATCGGCACCCCATAAAAATTTCATCCTCCCCATTGCATATGGTTGGTAAGCCACCATATCCCCTTTCTTCACACTGAATCCATCCGGTAGTGTATCATCCGAGAAGCATATCTTCGCATCCTATAACCGCGGCAAAGCCTTGAGATTAGTCCTTTGTCATGAAATAGTTGAGAAAAGGTTTTGTCGAATATTAATCATTTAACATTAAGATTATTAACATTTCGTAATATGTATCGGTATCAACAATACAGTGATATATCATTCAATATCGAACAGTATTAACCGATATATTGATAAATAAGGGCATGGAAGTCCAAAATCCCAATACGTAACTGCCGATATTTAAAATCCTCTCATAACTTCAAAATGCAACGAAAGTACAGATTTCTATCATCTCCATCTCCTAGAGGGAATGGAGATAGCCATTTCATTTCATCAGGCCGCAACATGTCATTAAAATTCAAAATTAACAGCCCCACATTATTATAAATTTTAAAATTTTCCACAACCACCGCGTCATAGATCATTAAATAGAGATCTCCAAAAGATTTGTTTTTTTGGTTACATCTCCAAAAGATTTGGACCTCAAAAATACAAAACCAAAAGGGAAATATCAAATTGAGAAATTTTCAAATAGCGGTCCCCAATTCAAGTTGATTATATTTCGCCTCTTCTTCACAGAAAGGCGTGAACGTATTTAAGGAATTGTCATTTCGTGAGACCATGACGAAAACACATATCAATTAGGTATAGGAAAAAAAGTTTCATTACCACTGGAACTGCAGGGTAGAGCCTGAGAGTCTCAGTTAAAGCCGCGTGAAGATACTGCATCTTTTCGAGAACATCTTCGCGCATACCTGCTGCAAACTCGGCATAGTCTGTAACCTCTTTGATCCCGGTGGCTTCTCTTATTTCTCGTGCAATCTTTTCCTGTATTTCCGGATGTTTGCAGAGCGCGTAAGTGAACCATGAAAGAGTTGTCGCTGTCGTGTCCTTGCCAGCAATTATGAAATTTAAGATTATGTCTCGTAAGTACGTCGGATCGGTTTCAGTCACTCCAAGAAACCTTGATAAAATGTCTTCTTTCTTTGCCTGGCATATGTTATTGTAATGCAAAAGTAAAAATATGAATATTTCACCATTCGATCAAATAAAATAAAAACTTTGGATTGTTTCACTTACAGAAAATTCATTTGGAGACTTTTTCATTTGCTCTGCCTTGCTTTGGATTAACTTGTATACGAACTCGTTGATGATTTTGACATTTTTCTTTAACTGGCCTTCCGCTCCTAAACTCAAAGCTTTCTTTATCTTCCAAAAGACATCAACAAATCGAAAAAGCGTTATTGCGCTTGAATCATCAAAGGCATTGGTAAATATGGTGCCTTCTTCGCTAGTTCCGCACATACTGTCTAGTTCAACTCCAAACCCAACTTTGAATATTGAATCCAAGGTTGATCTCATATACAGATCCTACATCGATTAGCAAAATTTAGATAGGGGTATGTGCATTGTTGTCAAAACGATACTACTTCATGCATTATGCAAACAAAATTAAATCACATTGACTCGTAGCAAATTGCAATAAATCGTAAGATTCACTCAATTTAAGATTCAGTAGTACAAATCGAATTGTGAATTATAAGATTTTGACGTATAGTTGTGAAAAACTCACTTGAAGATCCATGACTTGGTTGGAAGTTGCAGCTTTAGAGATGATATTGGCAAGTTTCGCGACACTTCTCTGGAAGATGACGCTGCTAAAATCCCGCAATACCTTTGTGGAGAATTCGTGGCTTGATACTTTTCGTTGTTGACGCCATTTGTCTCCATCGACTGTGAAAATTCCATCACCTAATAGATCCCTAAAGATGCAGTAATTGTACATCCCCTGCACATTGTTTCAAATGCTTAAAAATTGCAAGCTCCAAGTGAGAAGGTTTTTATTCAAGCTATAGGATTGAAGATAAAATCACTAAGAATGCGGATGTGCTTAGCCAGAGGCATAATTGCTCAAATTAGAGAAACCAATGGCATAATTTACCATTAAAATTACCAAAAAAGCCTCCCAAGACCGGAGTGAAGTCAAGTTGATATATTTGGAATCTTTTATAGAACTCCCTTTAGAATATATAGAATGCTATGACGAACTAGAAATTACGAAATATAAAGCAGAACAAAGACGCGAGTATGCAAAGATTTATGTTGTTTGATTTAAGCCTGTATCCATGATAAAGATTGACAGAGAAATTTCACTAGAAAGTAAAGAATACAATGAGTCAAGTCTCTCACTATAATGGTCTATTTATAAAAGCTCTCAAAAATTATAAAACCCTAGTACACATATCCGGATAATAACAAACTGGGTCAAAAAAATACCCAAAACTAAATAACATATGTTAGCTTTTATGATTTTAACTTTTTAGATTATTATCTTAAAAGCTTTTAAATGAATTATAAATTTGTTTGGTGCAACTTTTCATAATCTGTAAAAAGAAAAATAAACATGCTTACTCAAACAAGTTGTCACATAACTTTTTGTTGTGTAAATATTAAAGATGCTCCCAAAAGTTATAATTAAGGCAACAGAAATTGAATTATTTTGTCCATATATACTTTAATAGTTTCAAATAAGCTAAAAATGTCACAAATTGTAACATTTTTTGGGAGGGCTAATCAAGCTGCAAAAATCCAATAAGTTATAATCTAAAATTACAATCAAACACTATTAATTATTATTTTTGTTAATCAAATAAATTAAATAAGTTGACTGATAAGTGTTACCAAATAGGACATTCATTTAGAAACAAAATGAATGCTAATATGCCTTGCTTGTACTAGTTAGATTATGGGTCAAAGCTTTGTTAGATTTTGCATAGACATAAATTGAATGTGTACTAACTAGTGACTATGATGGGTTTATCACCAAAGTGAAAGCTCATTTGCCTCACTTGTTCGAGCAAGGATCCTCTAAAGGTTTTTTTTCCTAAAATTTCCTAGGGTGGTGCATTATGTAGTTGAGATTTAACGACAAGTCACATCAATTTTTTAGCATTAAATCTCAACCACACAATACACAATACACCACTTTAAGAAGCGTTTCGAAAAAAACACTCTAGAGGATACTTGTTCTGCCTAGATGGTGATCATAATGGACACATCCAAAAACATTCCTTCCAGATTTTACCTAAGCAGTTTTTTTTTTTTTTTTTTTTTTTTTCAGAGTTGGCATTTTTGACTTTTTTTACTTCAGCTTATTTTCATCTCAAATTTTTTTTTTATTTATAAAATTATATCAAATTTCCTTACTTTTTAGATCAATCTCAATTAGATGATCTTATAAATTAAAAAAAATTGAAAATCCAAAAAATAAAATAAAATAAACCAAAATTTGTAAGCTTTTTTGATAAAATTTATTAATTTTCATGAATTTTTTTTAATTAACTCAGTTTTTTTTTAATTTATAGATTTATATAATCGGGATCTAATCGAGACAGACTCATAAAGTAAAGAAAATAAATTCAAAAAACACAACAATTTTTTATTTATTTATAGTTTTAGCCAAATGAGAAAGTTTTCTGCTTTAGAAATAAAGTTCAAGTTGCACCAAACAGTCCTCCATAAATTATTAAAAAGGAAAAAAATATAAGCAACTCCAATAACAATAAGCTGTATCAAAGAGGGTCAAACTCCAAAAACTGTAATCACTCACAAATCATGCATATGGGATAAGCCCAAAAGACACCCCAAAGCTAAGATGTTTGAATTTACAATTCATCCAAAAGTTCAAACCTCAATTGTTAGGCTACAAAATATATATATATAAATTTTGATGTAACTTATTATAAGTTAAAAAGTTGATAATAAAAAAATAAAAATAAAAACACTTATTTAATTTATTTTTGCTTAATAAATTATAAATAAAAACTGCATCAAACCCAAACATCAACAACAAAAGTAATTCTAAAATTCAAGTCATACCTTGCCATAATTTTCAAAGTTTGTTTTGAGAATGTACTCAACATTTGCAGGATCTGAAGTGTAAATCTCATTCCTGAAAGGGCTTAACAACCTGTAAGTCTTGTGCTTTGCAGCAAGATCAGTCATGTAATCATGAACCCTATTGAAATTGAGTAGCTGGTTGAACATGGTCCCTGCCACTGGATGGTACTTCTTCTTTCCATTGAGTTTTCTTTTAAGGATTTGGAGAGAGAGGAGAGAGAGGATTATGGAGAGAACCAAGGCTGGTATAGAGATGAAGTTAGAGAGAGAATCCATGGAAATCATAGCTTGGTGCAGTGAGAGAGATGTACAGTGTTGGCCACTGGCTTTGTGTGAGTTAGCCCATCTCCATATCACTTCTATTTAAGGGAGCATTTTCTCTTTATTAGTCTGATTTAGTCCAGTGCGATATGGCCCACTTCAGAATTTATCACGATAATTTTGGATGAATTACAATTACATCCTTAAAGTTTGTTTAAAATACAGATTGTCTTCCGTAATTTAGAAAATTACAAATATTCTCTTATTAAAATTTTTTATTTAATATAATTAATTAAAAAAATAAAATTTATAATTTCTCCACTATACAATAATAAATTACGTAAATTATTAATTAAAACGTATTTCTAACATCATTAAAAATTGTTAATTGACTTAATGATTTATTAATAAAATGGACGATTTGTTATGAAATTAAAAACCTCAGAAGGTGAAATGTAATTTCCAGAACTACAGGGAGTGATTTGTATTTTAATCAAATCTCATGAGATACATTTGTAATTTACCCAAATTTAAAGTAAGAGACTTAGGCCTTGTTTGGCATATACTAAAAAAGTCAAAAATTCACTATCCTACTTAAGTCACATTATCTTATTTAAGTCACATCATATCTCTACTGTATCACTTCAAACTCAACCCGTATTTTATAAAAAATAAAAAAGTGCACTTATTTAGAACATCCCAAACAACCCCTTACATATAAGTCCTAATAGGTAGATTCATTGTCTAATAGAGCATGTGAGAATTAATGGCGTTTCTCATTAACTACTACTAAAAAAAGTCACCAATTATTAATTTACAGCGACAGTTTGAAAATTTTATTAAAAAATGTTACTAATTATAAGTTTTAACGACAATTTAAAAAAATTGTTACAAAAAAGGTCACTAATGTTTAACTTTTAATGACAGTTTAAAAAATTCGTCACAAAATAATATCACTAATTATAAATTTTAGCGACAATTTATAAAAAACGTGGCAAAAAATCCTTAATTGTTAATTTTTAGCGACATATGCAAAAAAATCGTCACAAAAAATTATTTTTAGCGACAATTTTACTAAAATTTATTTTCAATAGGACTTGATGAGAATTAAGTTCAATTATTAAAATTTATTGATAGTTTACCCTTCAAATTATGGATTCTTGAAGTAAATTATTCATATTAAAATTTATATTGATCAGACGCTAGTAATCACTTAACTAAATTATATTTATTTTTAAAAAATAGATAAATTATTTTTAAAATCATATTTATTATTAATTATTTTTTAAATAAATATGATCTGATCATGAAATTAATTTTTGCCAGAAGAATTTGCTTGATGAGCCCACCATACTAATAATTCATCACAATTAGGGCACATTTGTTTGAATTATTAAAAGGAGGATTGAAGTGGAAGAATATGTGTGATCCACATAATTTTTAAGAGAAAATTAGTGAAAAGTTCATTCAAAAGGATGTAAGACATTAAATTTAAAATAAAATTTTATTTGGTGATAAGGATAAGAGCGGAGCTATGCTTTGAACGGTGGTGTCAATTGACACCATTGAACTTTAAATTTTTGATAAAGTATATGTAAAAAATTATGAGTATTTACAAATTGAACTTAGTGGGCCTAAATAAAATAAATTTATTTTTAAACTTTTACAAATTGACCCCAATAGGTAAAAACAAAATCAAACTTTATTCAGAAATTTAGGCTTCTAGAAACAAACCAAACGTTTGTTTATTCCTCTTGGAGATTGGACATCGACTTTTGGTCAGGAGCAGAGCTATGCTTTTGGTTACTTTTGTCAATGTGATTTGGAAATATATGAAATTTACAAAGAATTATGTGAATATTAATGTTGACAGATTGTGTAGAACTAAAAATATGATATATGACATTCATGATGCCTTGTTAAATGACCCCGCTAAAGGAAATTCCTGACTACGCTACTGGATAAGAATATGCCGAAAAAGGTCGTCGAAAAAAGTCATCGACGGTGGCAGCAGCAGCAGCGGTGACCGACAGTCAACGACAACATGTGGTGATGGTGAAAAATGTGTAATATTCAACAAATAAGTTGTTGAATAGTGACATTTATCACATTTCAACAGATAGTTAGTGTGATGAATTTTAACAAAAAGACAAATAGGTTAATTTCAACAGATAGGTTGATTTCAATATATATTTGTCCTTTTGGCCCAAAGATAATAGAATTTTTAGGTCTAATGGCCCAAAAGATTCAGAAATTGAATTATGGCCTGAAGTCACAATTTTTAATTTAAGGTTTGATTGCCAGATAAAAAGGAAGAGATTAAAGTAAAATCGAGTATTTGTAGTAAACGTTACATTTCTAATTGAGTATTATGGAAGTAAAAGAGCCTCTAGATTATTTTGTTTCTTTCATGTTGTGTTTGAAATATAGATTTAGACTGAAATTTAAAAAGATAAAACAAAAATGTGAAAAATATAAATAAAATATATTTTATTTATTTGACTTTTCACTTACTTTTTTATTTTTCTTTCAAAGCTCTATCTAAATTCATATTTTAAATACAGTGTCACTAAATTGTCAAGATAGGTCCACATTACACTTGTGTCAACAATTTCATCATAATTAAATATAACAATATTTAATCACATATTTTATTTATTATCTCATCATATAACTTATTTTTATAATTATATTCATAATCATATTATATATCTAATCTTTTATAATATAACTTATCACTCAAAATGTTATTAATAATCTCAAATAAAATCAAATGTGGGCTTAGAGTCTCAAATAAAATCTAATTTCACAAATAACATCTTGTGCCTTATGACAAGATCAGTGATGTAGGTTCGTTTGTTTCCATATATAATATTTTTAAGAAAAATATTTTATTTATTTTCTATTGTTTGATTACCATAAAATAAATAAAATATTTTTAACAAAAAAAAGTCCAAAAATAACCTTCCCTTTAAATTTCCGTAAGTCTTTTTTCTATACTTTGTTCCAATCATGCCAACTGTTTAGTGAGCAAATCCAACGGGTTTTACAGCTATGGATAATTATTGAGAGATTTACAGGCCGGTCCTATTGATCCTACTTATTTATCTATAAGTTCTGTTCATTTTTTCACCTATTAATATCTCCAAAATATCCTTCCTACACTTCCTTCAACAACTCAATCATCATATCACTAACATGACCTACCCCCGTACACTTCTAGCCATCAGTGATCACTTCTGATCGTTGGTAATTCCGACAACCTCCGATGATCACCTCCAGCAACCTCTTCTAGTGACAGTTCCCAACACCACTTTTTTAGCAAAAATAACATCCATCTCCACCATATTAATACTGTCACTACCTCCTTAGATCTGATGGCGACAAAAAAATTAAAAAAATGTGAAGACGAAGAAGAAAAAGAAAGAGAGATAGGAAAATAATGAAGATGAGAAGGAAAAAGAAAGGCCTTACCAGAAAATAGTTGCCCTCAATGTCTTAGATCAACATAATCATGTCTTTACCATTTGTTCTCTGTCCTCTTTCCAGTAATAAATTTATCACTGATAGATTGACCTATACAGCACATTCATCTCTTCATTGACAAATTAGTACTCTATCATCTTTCTAATGATAAATTTATCACTAATAAATTGACTCATCTAGCATATTCATTTCTACAATGACAAATCAGTGCTCTATCAGCTTTCTAATGATAAATTTATTTCTGATAGATTGACTCATCCAGCATATTTATCTCTGCAATTACAAATCAGTGATGAATTCATCATTGTATAAATATGAAAATTTACCAACAGTATACAACATATTCAACAAACCACTGCTAAATTTATTACTGATAGATTGACCATACTACATATTTACCTTTCTCCATTAACAAAAATGATCAATTTATCACTATTTAAAAATCATCATAAATAAGTTTCATCTCAAAATAAATAACATAACTTACAAACTCACAAAATTGACGTAACTTTCAAAAAATAACAATGATAAACTAATCAAACAACAAGAAACACAAGTGTTGCTGACAATGATAAAGGAGGACGGTAGTTGACAACATTAATGTTGACGGCAACGGAGGAGAATGATGGTCGACGGTGATGGCAACAAAAGAGGATGACAATGGTGTGAGGTGAGCGACAACGATGGCGAGGGAGGAAGATAGCGATAGAGTGTAGATCTGTAACGGTAGAGTAGACATCTGCGATGGTGGAAGTGGATCTGAGATGGTGGAGGTGGTGCATACGTCGACGAAAGTGATAGTTGATGAACGGTGGCGGCAGATGAATGATGATGGTAGTGGTGGTGGTGGACGGCGACAGTAATGGTGGTGGTAGATCGTAGTAGATCATGACGGTGGTAATGGTGGTAGACGACAACGGTGACCGTGGCCGGCCAGTGGTTATGTGAAGTTTCTAAAAACATGATAGAGAGAGAAAAAAAAGAGAGATAAGAGAGAGATATGACATAGGAATAAGAAAATATTTGATATATTAATATTTAATGAGAACAATATAGGTAATGGAGAATTTATTAGTGTATTTAATTAGTCAACAGGACTTAATGGAATTTAAGTCCCAAAAGTAGGACTAGCTAGTAATAATCTCATAATTTAGTAGGTTTGGTTTCAGTTTTCTGAATTCAGTTTTTTAGAAATTGAATTTTTTGTTTTTCATTTTTTTTTTGTTTTTAGAGAATATTTTTAAAATTTTAAATTTTTTTCTTACCTTTTTAGATGCACCTTATTTAGATGTATCTAAATAGTAAAATATTTCTGAAAAAATATTTTAAAAAATTAATAAATATACAAAAATACAAAAAATATATTTCGTATTTTTTTTTATATTTTTGGTATTTAGTGAATTTTTTAAAGATTTTTTTTCACAAAAATTATATTTTTTAAGTATATTTATGTTAAGTATGTCTAAAAATTTTTAAAAATTGGGTAAAATATTAAAAAAATAGTGAAAACAAAAATAAAAAAATAATTTTTTTTAAAAATTAATTCTAAAAACTGAAACCAAACAAAGTGATTCTTTCTCCTCAAAGATCAATTCAACATCCAGAG